TATATATAAAGCCAAAAATTGTGTCAAAAAAAAGAAGTTTTCAAGCAACATTAGTTTTTGAAACATTTGTTCAAAAATTGTGTTGCCTAGGAATGTTCTACACATTGGTAAATGGTAGCCAGAAGTTTTTCAGGAAGGTGTTTTTTGGATTAAGAGAATGCATAAACTTGCATATCAGTTAACCTATTAATGGTGACGTTTTTATCAAGTAATTGGTGCCTTTTAGAATGAACTGTTGCCCTACCGTTACATCGTTGTATTTCGCATTTTGGACTTCTATTTTGGATTCTTTGGTATTCAACACCCAATATTTGATTTCCTGGCACGGGCCGGTGTTTTTGGCTGTGGTGAAGCTTTACCGGCAGTTGAGTATGCTTACTGTAAGTTATTTTTTTTTCTACAAATTTCAAGTTCTTTTTTTATCTTAATTGAATATTGATTACATATAAGGTTTATCAGTTATTGTATGCAACTATTTTGTATTTAGCTTCTGAAAAAAAATTGATGCGTTTTGAGATATATTCTTGAAAGCATAAACGATAACTGATTTTTTTTTTTGTAGTTTGGAAGAATTTGGTGATAATTTTTGAATCCTTCTTTGTCTCGCTGATATCGTCAGTGTTGTTGAAACCATCCCGTAGTGCATTTTTTGACAAATATCCATCATGTCGAAGCGTAGCCTCCTCGGCAGCAACACACGAAAGCTGTACTTGATAACTGCACACGAAAATACGGCAGTCTACCAGCAGCACTCAAATCATTTACTTATTCGCTGATTCACTCGATCCATCGGGTAACAATTTTAATATGCTACTGTAGACAATCTGTGTTTTTAAGTAACTTATAAACTTCTTGCTACTTTATTCAGTCGTAACAGCAGTTCTAGAAAGCTTCAAATTGAGGATGAAAATACAATGTTTGTCGTTCGTTAACTTTCCTTTTTTATTTGCTAAATAGTTTTCCAGCTTTGTCTGACTGTTCCGGTTAGTGGTGAAAGCACCACAATTAATATTTGTGTACGGCTGAACTGAGTCTTTATAAAAATAAATTTGTTTTTTTTGATTATGACTTATTATTATTATTAACATTACTATTGTAATTATCGTTATTATCGTTTCTTTTTTGATTATTATTACTAACAGTCCTTTTATTAATCGATTGATTTGCGGGTATTTTCAACGTAATGAACAGTAAAGTTCTGTTTTTGACCAGTATAAGCGGAATTTGGGTGACTGGTTGTCGTTGCCGCTGATTTTTCAGGATGCCGTTGTGTACAGTTTACTCCGAGGAAGTGAATACAGAAAGATTTCAGAAAAAATTATTTTAGCTCATTTACGGTTTTTTCTTCAGGCTTACTTATAACTTCTTTTTATGTTCACTGCTGTAGAATAAGTTACAAATTGGGTAAAAGAAGTTCCAGTGAAAGATAAGTTTAATACAGCGGACAGAAGAAATAACAGCAACCAATTATCCGGGAAGAAGACTTGATTCTGTTCTTTTACTGAGTTCCTCATCATTAGGATGCAAGCTAAGTCGACGCCCTTTAGCGTTGTAAAATGTGTTGATCTTTTGCTTTAATATTTTTTGTTCAAACGTACGGCATTTTCTCTTCTTTATTTGTATATATACATGTAAATTTAAAGGTTTTGTTGGATTAAACAAAACTTTTTTCTGTAATTTTTTGTGAATTCTTAAGCTAATGAAGTGTTTGCGGAAACTATCTCAATAAAGTGCCTCCAAATATCTGTATTTTTTCTTAAACAGTATCAGGTGACTTGCTTAAAATAAACAATTGAAAATATACCGATTAACAGCTGTTTCAATTAAATGTATCCATTCATATAAAGGGAGCTGAACGTCTGAATTACCGGGGCTTCTTCAAAGCAATTCACCAATCGTTTTTTTTCTCAGTTTTAGTAGTTGGAATCACTAAGGGGGTTCCACGCGCCAAAACTTCAAAATTATCAGCCCATGCGCGATGCTACGTTGGCTTCGTATGTAACCCAACAGCATTCTACTGCCGGGTCGACCGACGTGCAAGAGTACCACAGAATCTGTGGGAGGGCCAGGAAAAAATTTAAAATGAGTTATAAAAGCTTATTTGCTCACTACTTTTAATTGAGGATGCTAAGAAAATTTTGATTTGAAACACTATATGATAAGTGTTTTGGAGATAAGCAGTTTACAGTTACTGAGGTCTCAACAATTACACTGATAAAGGTGATATTACGTCAAAATAATAATTTATTGTTCAGCGAAAAAACTGAAGTGTGTCGCTTCCGCCGCTGGTATAATCGTTTTTCTTCGTTTGTTCTTCCGCGCATCTGCAACTATCAATGCGGCAGGACCTAAAAGTATTTCAAGTATTATGCTCACAGATCGTACTAACCTAATAAATATTCGTAAAAATTGCATTTTTAAGTGCCTTAAAGAGCCCTAATAAAAGAAAAGCTTGTAAAACTCAAACAGGACAGTGACAAAAAATTGCAAATTATTGTTCTCGAAAACGTTCAAAAATGACTGTGACCATCTTCTGTGTTTTTGCTGCAAACAAAAACTCCTGCACATCTGCTATAATTTACTACGAAGGGAAAACTAAGGCAGAAAAGTTACATTTCTACAGCATTCTTTATCTAACATTATTCTCGTAAATCATGGATATCGCGGTAACAGCATAAAAGTTCTTATCACCACATCATTCGTCCTTCATTTCCCACTAAAAATTCTCTCTTTTGCTAATCAAAGCTGGCAGATAAAATTTTACTACGCTGTTGCGAAGCTGTGTGGGTATTTCAGGAGTGG